ATGTAACATAGTTTTAAAGGCTTCCAATAGCCTTGTTGAACTTTCCTGCGTGGCTCCCAGACCGTAGTAATACAGGGGATGACTGTCTCCAGTCTTCCAGGGCCGAGGCAACAGACTTCGGGGTTCAATAACCCACTCTTATGGCGCATTTCCACTACACGGTCGGCCTCGGCCACACTCTGTACGGCTCGGTACGGCTTGGCCGCGTTGGGCCTTAACAGGGCCGACTCACTTCATGCTGCGCTTCCATTACAGTTTAGGAACTGGGGTAGTTACTATAGTAACGCAGTGTAGGCGGAGCCGTGACGTCATCTTCAATGAGAAATCCAGAAACACAACACAGCCGTTAGCTGTGAGCACTCAGAGCTCACAGCTCCTTATATATGTTCAGAAACTCGACAAAAGTTAAACAAGTACACACCACAGACTGCCTGTGTCATGGTGAATACAGTCGCTACTTTATTTATGTCTGTATAGGCCGTTGTTGTGAGTGTGGACGGTCGGGGCATATACTGCGTTAGCTTAGCCAATCTCCATCTAGAAAAACACGAATTTTAAAAGGTTTTTCGCCTGCCGTCTGTCTGCAGACTTGACAAAGCATTAATTCATGGTTTTTACTAACCGGTATCAGTATGTTGTTACTTCGGCATCATTTTGAAACGTGTATTACAATTAAATCACGGTCAAATATGTCCATCTTGTTGTAGTTCTAGCCCTCTTGCCAGCGCTCCTCTCTCTAGTTTAGCATACTCAGCCCGACTCAGCCCTGTTTGTTGGCCCCGATAGAACCACAATTTTCTAGGGCCAGAAAAGAGGGGAAAAAGTGGCCCCGCGCCGTGCCGCGCCGGAACGAGGCCTAGTGGAAGCACAACCAAAAAAGGGGACGGCACGACACGGCACGCTTAAAGCGAGCTACGCGCTGCAATGGAAATGCGCCATTAGATAAGGCAGACCGGCAAGCTTTTCCTGGGGAGGCCGTTGTATTTGTGACACAACTAACATGTTATGTAATTCATTCACAACTTTGTTTTACAGCTAACTGTAACAAACCGTTCACTTCCAGAAACATGCTCGCTCACAATCGCTTGCTCTACCCATGCACACTCTACATGCACGCGCCGCACACTTTCCCCACCTCTCTCTCTTAAAGGTATAGGCGACCTTACTCTTCATGTTTACGGCACTTAAAGAGTGCTGACCATTTGGTTCTTTTTGTTTAATCTAAATTGTAGTGTAGCAGGCTGCAGAGTTCACAGAGCTGAGATTTGTGTAATATAGTTGTTGGTGTTGAATCTAAATTAGATTAGATGTTGTAACAGTTATTTTCCAACACTTTCATTGACAAGCTGTTTGAAGAATCTTGAGAGTGTGAGATGGCTGAGAGTGTTTCTGCAATGGATAACCCTGATGAGGAGGTACATAATTAAATTACAATTGCAAGATAAATATTGTCATATAAGCTATTGTGAATATGGCATGATTCATTTATAGATTAGAATAACAAAAATTAAACATATTGTTCTTAATTACTAAGGAACCTCATGAAGAAACAGATTCCTTCCCTGACCCGTGCCGTGAGGAAGGAAAGAACAATCCAGCAGCACCAAACTAATTGCGCCGCATAAACGCATAGGTGCGCCGCATTTGCGGCTCAGTTGAGGCTCCCTCCGCAAGATGAGGCCCCCTCCGCGAGGTGAGGTCCCACGCAGTCTGCATGATCTTCCTGTAGGGAGGGACGGCCCTGATTGTAACAAATATATACGCAGCGATATGTAAAGATACTGAGATGTACTTTTCTTCTCTTGTGACAGATGTTCCTCCACCAGGGGGAGTAACTGTTCTTAATTCTGACCAGGACAAGGTTTATTTTGGCTTTCCACCAACTGAAAACTCTGCTGGGTTTAGACTACAGTTAGATTACTCCTGTGAAACAAACAGCGGCAGTTTGACTGTTAATGACTCCAGCCCTGTGAAAGTTAAGGCACTGATTAGTAGAACTGAGTGTACCTTCAGCATCATAAGGATTTCAGACAATGGAAATCAAAGCGAAGCAACCTCGCTATCTGTATTCACGAGTTAATCTGAAAATCAAATCAATACCATCTGTTTCTGGATCTTTTGGATAATTATATGGGGCTGTTTGTGGCCTTTACTTGGGAGTCAAACAGCACTTTAAAATGCTGACAAACATTGATGTGAAAAGGAATCTAACTTCGATACAACCAACGTTAATATCTAGGCCGTCTCCGATACCGTTCTCCGGTGCTGATAAGGCTCCGGTGAATGGCCGTCCAATCTTTTTAGGACTAAACCCCCCAGAATATACACGCAAGATCAACGTAATCTGTTTAGGGGGGCGTTTACAGCGTGGCCTCTAACATCAAACTGCCCGTCGTATCCCTATTTTAGGCACTCCAGCCACGGATGTCCGACCGCTAGGATAGCAAAAACGGAGTGTATAGTGTAGTAGGTGTTGGTGGGCTGGTAGAACCCCAGAGCAGTATCAAAACTGCCCCTGGAGGGGAAACCCTGTGTCGTTGGGAGACCCCTTGGTAATTAGGGCAGCTTCAGGACCCACAATCCCTAACCCCCAATTTTTATCCCCAGTTACCAATTAAAACAATGCAAAAGTAATATCAAACACAGCCAGAGTCAAACATTAATATCACAGCAGTGACATTACCACATCAGCAGAGCATATGTCATATTTCAACATTAATCAAAACCACATCAACCACAGTAACCAATGTGAAACTATAGTTTAACCTTAGCAGAGTTTCTATTCCCCTTAAACAATTTAAAATCCAAAATGATCAACTAATGTCAGCCTTTTCAGTTCTTACCTCACTCTAAGACCAAGCAGATACCTTCAGAAACCACGAGAGAGACCAGGTGTTGGATTGAAATGTACAAAGTACAAGCCGGTTTTATTAAGGTTTTAACAAAAATATAGGGTTACAAGAATCCAAAAAATAACAAAAGACACAGAGTCAAAATACAAAAGCAACAGGTTCACAAATCAAATGTTCTAAAAAAGCCGTCCAAAAGAGCCCAAGCCCAGGCCCAGGGCTTGGGCCTCAGAAAACTTCCCCCAAGCCTTCAAGCCTCAAAAAGCCCCAAAAGCCCCCCTTTCTCTTCACACATCATCTTTTATAGTCTCTTGCCTCCTTCCTCTCTGCATCAGGTAGTTTCCCCTTTTCTATCTTGAAATCGTTCGGTTCGGTGCTGGTGCTTGAAAAGCACCGGGTTTTCCTGTTCACACCGCAGCGGAGCAGCCTCTAAGCTCCGGAATCCGGTTCGTTTCGAGCACCAAAAAGTTGTCCGTCTAGAAGCAAGAACCGCATACGTCACGCTTACGTCGGAGGGGGGCGAGATTAACCTGATTAACCTGAGCTAACAGTTAAGGCGAGTACGGCAAATAAAAGTTGTAACAAGCAGTAGTGCTGAGCAAAGTGACTAGAACGCAACCACACACTTGTAAAAAAAAAACACGCTTTATAAAGTCAGGCAACACTAACCAGGCTTCGTGTGATTCTGTTTATTTGTACCTTACTTTGACCATCCGTTCGCTGTTATTGGTCATTGTGGAGAGCAGGCAGACGTTTTGTTTGTTATTATAGTAGCTATCGGATGGAATCAATACATGGGCTGCACAGGTTGTCATGTCCGACTATCACAAGTAGAATCATAATGAAAAATACGTCGGTAAAAAGTGCCTGTAGAAAACGGCTTAGCAAGTAGTCAGTTTAGCTTCGGTTGCTATGCTAACATCACCCATGTTATACCAGAGAAACTTTCATAACAGCGTTGTGATGCCAAACAGCGTCAATTCAGACTGACACACATTCACTTAAGGGGAACTGGGGATATGTATCAGCTGCTTGTGTGACAGTCAGACAGTGAATACTTTAGAGCCGTGTGAGCTAACCCGGAGCTAACGGGAGAATAAACTCCCGTTGAAGAGCAGCCAGCACTGCAGCGGTCGGTAAATGCCGCTGAAACACATTAATAAACAATGAACCACAGCACTCTGGAGAAAAGTATAAGGTTGGAGAAGTCGTTATTTAATTTAATCTGGCTTCGTATGATTAAAAGCAACGCAGTCCCCGGCCCGTTGTTGTTGTGAGGTGAGCTCCGTTGGGGAGAAAATCAGCGACGTAAACTGTGACGTCATGACGCAGCAGCGGCAGCACCAGTCGGTCTCTGAGCGGTGTGAAAAGAGCCGGAGCTAAACCGAAGTACCGGTTCCGAACCTGAAAAGCTCTAGCACGGAGCTTGAACCGGAGTTGCGTTGGTGTGAAAGGGGTATTTGAGGGAGAAGGAGGTCACATATGTTCAACTTTTACTTAATGAAGAATTAAAAATGTAAAGTTAAAATAAAACAAGACTTATAGTAATAATATGCAATTTTAACAAGAGGGAATATGAAAAATGTTCATGAAAGCAGAACACATTGTCAATGTCATGTTTTAACAACGTTTTTTTCTTTAAACGTTTCAATTTCAAATATACAAACTTTATACTTTAATTCATTATGAACAGAGACTTCATTTATTAACAGAGGCAACAGAAGCAGCTTGTCTCTATGATTCCCTGGCCCAGGAAGTTGATTTGAATATGTGTGTAGGCCGCCTGCATCCTGTGCCTCATTGTCTTCGTACCCGTTGTAACCGCTCTCAAGGTGTCAAAAACCACAAGCGCCTTCTCAGAATGGTAGCTGGAACTTTTACGCTTTTATTGCCCCATCCAGCATAGGTCAACAGTTCAGAATGTTCTATCTAGTTTCACATGCCTGGTTTCACATGTCTGAAAATACATGATGGAAACATACATCCTTTCTATTTACAGCCAATTTAGCATCTTTTTATCAATGGTAAGCTTAATAGAGGTAGGTGAGGTAAAAGGTCAGGTCTGACACGGCCACTTAAACAGCAGAACTGTCAACAGATGGAACATGAATTTTTTAAGTTTTAGTGAAACCTTTAGTTTTTTTCCCACAGAGCCCAGCACTCCTGTGCAGAACAAAGTCGATCAGGTCAGCATGGAGTCAGAGTCTCTGCATTCGGACCCAGATGCTGGTGAAGTAGAGAGTAACAATGCAACGTGGCCCAGTGAAACTGGGCAAGAGAAAGCTGATGGAACATCTAGCAAGCCAACTGTACCATCTGCCCCCAAAGGTAAGTCAAATATAATCAGTATTGTATGGTTTACTATAAAAACAAAGGTGGCAAAAGAAAAATGATGAGCAAACTACAACATATTTTTTCTTACCGTTAGATGATAACGTTAAATAATTGAGCGGTTGAGAACTCTGTCACATCGGCCCATATATCTGAATCTCAATAAGCTGGTGCTGGGGAATTGTAGTCTTTTATTTTCCATAAATAGAGGTCTCTACTGGGTGACAATATTATTTTGACATTTTGCACAAAAAAAAATACTGGCCTACATAGCGGCACTTATTGTAACAAAAAGGAGCCAGATATAAAAGGTTCAGCCTTTGAAATCTACATTCTAGTTGTGACAGAGGGTTGATCAGTTATTTTGCCTTATTTTGAGACTGGCACCAGAGAGATAACTTTGCTCACTGGTCTTTCCAGCATGTTTGTTTCTGTCATACAAATAATCAGACAATTTCTTGCAAAAGTTTTAGATAAATTGGGACCTTTTGCAAGAAACAAAATCTGTCATAAAAAGAATCAGACCTCTTGATCTGGGTGGTGTCTCCAGAGCTTTTGCCATTAACCAGGATCCATGAGGTGCATTTGAGTTTATGATCAATACATGTATGTTGATAATTTGTTTACACGCACATAACTGTTGAAGGGCTTTCATCATCAAGCTGTCCATAACTCTGACATACATGTATGGTGGTAGCTCTGGCGTAAATCTGTCTTTTGGTAAATCTGACATGTTTTGCTCTTTTGCAGTTCTATCAGCGACGTGCAGTCAGTGGAGGCAGGGGAGGCAGAGCCTCATACTCCAATGTAACGGAAAAACAACTAAAGAAAAACGAAATAGTAATAATAATAAAATGTCTCCACTGATCTGTGTTGTAAGTGTGATTTATGTATGATTCTAATCGCTTTTTATAGTCAAAATCAGCAAATTTGCCGAGCTCCGCTACGGGAGCGATGACAAGTGAGGCAGGCACGTGCTCTGCCTCTCGTAAGCCCACAGTAACTTGCTGGAGCACGGGCACTAATTTAGCGCGGGCACTTATTTTGTGAGCGCGCTCAAGCCAGTTACTGTGGGGTGAGGTGAGGCACAGATGAGATCTGCCTCACCTCAGAATGCGTCACCCCACAGAAACTGGCTGGAAAGCGGGCCCTAAGCACATGCCTGTTACCATCTCACTGTAGGTCACCAATGTAATGTATGTAGATCCCTTTATTACATTTATCCTCGCCATCCATAGTCTCTAAATAACTTATTTCACGTATATATGATATTTAGGCTCGCTGGTCTCAACGGCAATGAAAATGCACCAGGGGAGGCAGCCATAACCTCTGCCGCACTGAAGGGGGCGCACGTGAGCCCACAGGTTCTTGTTGCTACTGTAATTCTACGCAGAGACGGTAGACGTAACAACAAACTAGACTTTTTAAACTACAGGAAGATAAGGAGGACTTTTACAAAAAAGTAATAGAGATTGTTGTCCAGAAGGATAGCATGGACTTCATCTTCAAGTCAAGGTAAGACCACATTTGTAATGAAAATGGGATCTTACTAAGAAAGAACAATCCAATATTTAGATTTTGGGTATCCTTTTGTTGAACGGTCTGTTTAAAATGAATCGAAGCATCAGACTAAAAAAGCTTTTGAAAATAACAGAATATTTCGATTAAGGTCAAAATATAATATTTGTAAATCTGACTCAGTGAGTCAGTGCCTCACCAGCCATGAACCTCACCGCACGTCACTGAGTTCTATGCATGCACCTGCACTTACTGTTGCAAAACTACTTTCTTTATAGTCATCAGTATCATGTCTTTAGATGAAAACAACCAAAACTGGAAAGATTGCATTTTTCATTTTGTTTGAATCTATGAATTTGCAGTTCTCCACTTTTCCCTGAGTTTAAAGGAAGGTATCAATATCTTCCATTGAGTTACAACATCCTTAAAGACAAATAGTTGAGCAGTGAGCAGTGCTTTTCTATCTTCACTGTTAATGGCTTTCCAATTTGACCTTTCTCCAAACAAGCTGCTGCAAAAGAGTTCATTTCCATAGTTCTCTTCGAGCAATCTCTTGGCTTTCTAGTCCTTTTTAGAATTCATTTATTGAAACCTTCTCACCAAGTCTTTACTTTGAACAACATCTCAATAAATGGAAGGTACTCTAATTTATATTTTTTAAAGATGTGTATTTCTCTGGATGGATGTAATGTTAAGCGTTGCTCCTTTGGCAGCATTTCAGTCATTTTGATTTGGCGCTGCATTACTTAAATCGAGTCACTCTTTCTTTGCTATTTGATTGTGACTTTGTCTGACTTGGCTGGAGTAATGCTGCGCTGCTGATGCTTTTGTTTACTATGTGGGTCTCCATTGCTTGAGATTGAACGCAAGTAAGGGCCCATGAAGACTTTTCTATTGTCTTGCTCTATGTTCTTCATTATGAACATCAGCATTTTCATCTGGTTGACCAGTACAGTATCGCTCCACCACAACACATGTATTATCATCCTCCACCATACTCCAGGGCTTCCATGGTTGTTATTTGATCAGTTTGAAGCTCAAGCTTTTCCATTACCGCTCTGAGATTTGTTTTTATTGCTTCAAGGTTAGCTTCTTGTTTTTCAAGCGAATGTATCTGTTGTGAAGCAGCAGTGAGTTCTTAGAGCAACTTTCTCAGCAACAGCCTTTCTTCATGTTAATGAAGCTGTTATAGATATATTACTGCCAGTATAGCACATATGACCCTTACTGCTAATCTGGCTCACACATTTTATGTATGCGCACTTATCAGAATCAAAATCTGAATTCCTTTATGAGTCCCACTGCGGGGAAATGTACAGTGTTACAGCAAAAGTGTTATAGCAGGTAAAAAAGGCAACCAATAAATGGCAATAAAAGATTGTATTTTATATATATATATATATATATATTAAAGTATTGAGACCTCATAACTGTGCTGGGACATTTATAAAAAAATATGCTTTTACATAAAAATGACTATTGCACAGTACAATTGCAAACAAGTTTATATGTTTTCCTTTTCCGGTCGGTGTTTGCTTAAACCATGCATTATATATATCTGTTTGATATGATTGATCATGACAGACATGAAAGATAGTTTCTTTCAATGTTCACCTATCAATGCCAATGTCAAACACAGTGTATTGCATTTTTATAAACCTGCTGTAATTTGATGTAAATTACGTCTCAATCTCTTCTTTCAAATCCTTTCACTGACAATTCCATTGCAATCTGACAATTAGATTTGTATATCTCTTCATTTGATTCTAGTGTTGTTGAAGGATCTGGATTCATCTATTAGACAAGCTGTTTAATAATTGACTTCCCATCATAGTTGTAGGTTAAGCAATGTGTACCTTATAAACTATAGGAAAGGAAAATTGTTATAATAAATGTTGATCCATGCTCATGAATGTTTAATAATCAATTTAGGCTTTAATATTTGTTGTTTTCATTTTCTACAGCGACACACCTAGAGAGCCTTTTGGAGGAACTGGGGTTGGATCACCTCTACAGAGAGAAGCTATCCCTAAGCACACTTCTTAGGATTGACAAGAAGACCATTACTGATGAACCTCCCAAGTGTAATTCAGATCTTCCATGGTATTTTCTGAAGAAACTAATGATGGTTAATGTGACAGCTAGGAATGTAAAATGTACACCTTCACATGAATCAGACTGTGATGATCACTTAGATCTTGATCGTCTCGATGAAAGTACACATTCAGGTGACACACTGAATCCCCTTGATATTATCACTGCTCTCTTCCTGTGCTCTGATGGTTTTGTACAGCAGGAAATGGCCCTCAAAATGTCCATGTGTCAGTTTTCCGTGCCTCTGTTGCTTCCCAACTGTGACACAAAGCAGTGCACACTCATGCTTTGGGCCATGAGAGACATTGTTAAAAAGTACAGACCTCAGTCACTTTCAGAGTCCAAGGGATTTATTGAAGAGAGAATTGTTGTCTCTGAACTTCCAATGATATCTTTTGTGAGACTGGGTGAGTGCTCCTTGTCCAAGTCAGAGATCCTCAATAAGCTTCTGAGCAGTTCTCAGCAGTACCATGACACCTTTGTTCACCGCAACATGGAGGGTGGTGACAGTCCAAGGAGAATATCCAATGGATTGGTGGAAATGACTTGGTACCTCCCTTGTGGGAACAAAAACATGGATGTCTTCAGCGAGCCAGTTGCTGTAGCTAACCTTCGTGGGGACATTGCTTCATTTGAAACACAATTTGCTTTCTTGTGTCAGACATCTGCAGCAGTTTTTGTGTTCTTTGATGCTTTGGACTCTGAGTGTGAGCTGCTAACCAACCAAAACCACAAGGCCCAGATCTTCTTGGTGGGCAACCGTCAAAGCAAAGATTTCAAATTAGATGCTGTAAAAAAGGTAGCTACCAAGTTGGACTTAACCAAGAGCAACATCCTTTTAAAGACTAAGCGCATGAATGATGCAGACTTTGTCAAAGATTTGCGGGAAAAAGTCAGCAATGTAATTCAAAACTCAAACATGAAGATGGGAATTGAGAAGATGGCTGACGTTGCCCATGAACATGGAATCTGTGTTGATGAAGACTCTCCAGAGTGCCAGAATGCCAAGAAAAATGCAGATGCCATCACTGCAGAAATTCAAGACATTCTTAAATACAAAGAAGCTCAGCTTCCCTTGCAAGGCCAGATATGGAAGGAGCTTACTCGCTTGGAGAATGAAGAATTGCGACTTAAGGATGTTGGGTCTGAAGATATAGAAAAGTACAAAAGTGATCTTCAGCTACAAAAAAAACGTCTTCGGGAAAAACAGAACTCTCAGGACATCTCAAAGGCAATGAGATGTTTCATCTGTGCAATATCAAGCCCAGGGATTGAGAAGAAGGAGAAGAAGAAGAAGAAGAAGAAGAAGAAGATAGAGAGGTGCTATTTCCTGAAATGGTTGCGAATGAACCTCGATAACGTGTCTCGAGAAAAACCGTGTGACCTCAGGGATCAGTACAAAGAAAAATGCAAAAACCCTGAGAACAAAGAGATAAAGGAGATTGAACAACAACTTTCCAACAGCTCATTAGGGACTGAACACTTCTTCCGTGAAATGGGGCAGATCTATGAAGCTTCCCTTTCCCTTCCTGAAACAGACCCAGCACGTCAACAACTACAGCATCTCCCCAAGCTATGTGCTGAGTTAATGCTTGCTGGATTTCCACTTGAGCTTGTAGATGGAGAAGCATCCAACATACCTCTCAGATGGGTGACTGACGTTCTCTCTCAGCTCAATGCCTTGGTGTCTCCTAAGAACAAGATCCTGGTAGTCACAGTTCTTGGAGTTCAGAGCACAGGAAAGTCCACTCTCCTCAACACCATGTTTGGAGTGCAGTTTGCAGTCAGCAGTGGTCGATGCACTCGAGGTGCCTTTATGTTGCTGATTAAAATCAATGAAGATGTCAGAAAAGACTTCAACTGTGACTTCATGGTGATCATTGACACCGAGGGCTTAAAGTCACCAGAGCTCGCACAACTGGACAATAGCTATGAGCACGACAATGAGCTTGCAACACTTGTTGTGGGGCTGAGTGATATCACCATCATCAATATTGCAATGGAGAATTCAACAGAAATGAAGGACATCCTACAGATAGTTGTACACGCTTTCCTCAGGATGAAAGAGGTGGGCAAAAAGAAGCCCAAATGTCAGTTTGTTCACCAGAATGTGTCGGATGTTTCAGCCCATGACAAGAACCTGCGAGACAGGGAACTGCTCCTGCAGCAGTTAAACGAGATGACCCAGGCAGCAGCCAAAATGGAAAAGAAAGAAGAGTACTCGAGCTTCACTGATGTGATGGAGTACAGTCCAGACACTGGAAACTGGTACATTCCTGGACTCTGGAATGGAAACCCACCGATGGCAACAGTCAATGCAGGCTACAGCGAGGCTGTTTATGAGCTCAAGAAGAGCATCATCCACATTTTGGGAAGTTGTGGATCATCAGCTAATAATATCTTGGAGTTTACAGAGTGGATGAAGAGCCTGTGGACGGCAGTAAAACATGAAAACTTCATCTTCAGCTTCAGAAACAGTCTCGTGGCTGATGCATACATGAGGCTGTGCAAAGAATTCAACAGATGGGAATGGGAATTCAAAAAAGAAATGTTCACATTGGTCACAAAAGCTGAAACAAGAATCTCCAATTTTGGTACAGCTGCTGATAAATCTAACAAATCTGACATGAGAGAACTTCTCTTGCTATTGAAAAATGAATATTTGACTGAGCTGTCTAAATGGGAAACAAAGCTTCTGGAAAATCTGGACCAGTACTTCAAGCAAACAGAGGGTCATGTCTATCTTGTTGAAGGATACAGAGAGGAGTTTAAAAACAGTGCGAAGAGCCTTCGACGAGAAATGGAAAGCTCTGTGTTTAATCAACTCAAAGCTGCATCTGACATCAGACAGGGGATGACAAAACTTGAGTGAATCAAGGTGAACCACACAAAGGACTTAGAGGGCAGAGTTTGTGCTTTGATTGAAGAATGTAGGAAGAAAAAAGTCCAGATGAAAGAGAAAGAGCTGGACAAAGAATTTGAAAAGATGTGGACTAAAACAGTGAAGGAACTATCCTTTACAAAAATGAAGGTTGATGACATTTTCACCAGTGTGTCTCACCGCCTGAGAACAAATCTATCAACCAAGGGAAGTCATGCAAGTGATTTGTTAAGTCAAAAAAGCCTGACAGAATGTGGACTGGGGCCATTTAAATATACAGCTGAAGGACTCTTGAATAAAGGTGCAGTCAAAATCAAACAGTGGTTTAAAATACCAGGTAATGCAAAGGCTGTACAACAAACAGCTGACAGCATCATTACAGTTTGCTCACAGATGGTGAGTGACAAAGTGCAAAGAAAGAGTAATTACCATGAAACCTACATCGATGAGATTCTAAACATGATTGATGAGAGGCTGCAAGACAATCACAAAGTTGGAACAGACATCACTTTTGAAGTCTCTCTGAAACAGCACATCTGTGCAGACGCAGCCAGAAGGTTTCAGAAAATGCATCAAGATTTCCTCCATGAGAATGATCCCTACAGATGTCTGAATGAAAACAAAGGAAAGTTTCTTGCTGATTTTAAAGATGTGTTCCATAATGTAGACCAGTGCCAGAAGAAGGCAGAAGAATTCACAGACCGATGCTTGAAGCCTGCAGTCGAAGACTTTGTCAACTGTTCCCTGGTTCCTGATATCATTGGTGAAATGAGGACAAGAGAGGAGTTCAGCACAAGAATGACCTTCCAGTATTCACTTTTACTGGATCTGCTCTCAGAGGATGACTTTAAAAAGTACCAGAGCTTTATTTGCTCATATGAGAAATATGTGAAGGAATGGATTCTCAACAAAATATTGGAACGCTTCTCAAATGGGTCTACGATGTTTGAGGATCCACATCTCCAGTCATGTGTCAACAGCATAAATAATGCTATCCAGAAAGCTAAAACAGAAAAGAGTGGCAACTAAAGTCATTTTTTGAAGATGTCTGTCAGGAACTTGGTGACAAACTGGTCATTTCCCAGGATGCTCTTGGGGCATTCATGATCCTGAACAATGCCAACCAGGAACAGTTTGCTCACTGGCTCACTGAGTGTGTGAAGGAGATGGCACAAACTCTTAGAGAGAAGTTTAAGAAAACAAACATCCAAACTAAACTACAGAGCCTTCATGTGAATCCTCAGAACGAGCTTTTCAACACACTGATTGGATGTGGTAAACAGTGTCCGTTCTGCAAAGCACCCTGTGAGGCAGGAGCAAAAGCCCACACTGAGCACTTCGCTTCACTTCATCGACCAGATGGTCTGGGTCGAAGAATATGGATTGAAACACAAAAACGTTGCATTGACATATGCTCTTCCTCTGTGGTCAGTGACATTTCTTTTCGCTGCAGTGATACAAATGATCAATCCCATCCTTACAAGCGTTACAAAGAAAAGTATCCGGACTGGAAAACCCCACCAGATGCAAGCCTCCAGGCATCAGACTACTGGAAATATGTACTGACAAAGTTCAATGATGAGTTTGCAGCAGCATACGATGCAAAGCCTGCTGATATTCCTGAAGCTTGGGAACTTATCACACCTGAGCAAGCAGAGGCAAGCCTCAAAGAGTCATTTCATATCAAATGAGAAACTACAAGCTTCGTGCTCACAGAGGGTCCCGTCCTCCTCATTACAGTCATCATCCTCTCATGGACATTTAGATTACACTTGATTTATATGAAGAGAAGCACACAAAGTAACATGCTGTTTATGAGATGGCAAGGTTGCCCATATATTTCAACAACAACTTACAAGGAATTTGTAAACGTTTCAGTTTGATTAAATCACACTTTGAATCCTTCCTTCTTGGTATAGATAACTGTTATTATAAAGCCAATTATCTTAATTTGATTTGATTGAGAGTTTTTACATCCTTGAAGTAACAGATGCAAAATATTTGCTTTCATGTTTTTCTGTGGTTTTGTCCAAAAAATATTTTCCATTTCAACGTTTTAAAATATCATTCAGTCTTCATGTCAACAGGAAGATTAGACAATGTCTTCATTTGTTCATCTTATTTCAAATAAGTATCTGGTTCTTATTATTTACATTTGTATTGACACATTTATAATGTTTGTCTATTAATTTCTGAGCTGCATCAAAAGCCACACATTTAGATTTTTAAATCAGTGAATGAATCATTGTGTTTTAGTGGTGGTACAGTCAACATGTAAACATGACAGAAAGTCTGTTGTAATCAAGTTCAGTTTGACATGTGACCGTTTCCCAGAGAGTTAGAATCTATTCTTATTTTGTTTCTGTAAAAACATAAAAACATCAGTTAAAAATATTTACAAATTCAATGTTTTAAAATATCATTCAATCTAAATGTCAACATGTAGATTACACATGCAGTTTCTTCTTACCTTTTTGAGTGCTAAATGTCATTTTCTTACCAAAAACCTGAAATCTTTGTTTTTGTTCCAATTTAGAATTTAGTTAAAAAATATTTACATTTTAATGTTCATGTTATACTTTTTATTCAAAATGTGTTATGTTAGTTTTCATTTTGGGATGCATCAAATGCCACATTTTAACATGTTTAAATCAGTTAAAAGATAATTTAGTTCATATTTAGCATGTCAACAAGTAAACATGATAAAAAACGTTAGAATCAAGTTAAGGATGATATGTGATTGTTTTCCAGAAAGTTATATCTATTAGATTTGGTCAATATTTTGTTTTTCATTTTCTTACCTAAACGAGTATGATATGTAACTTTCTTTGCTACAACTCTGTAACAACTTTTTTTTCTTTCAACTAAGTACCTGATATCATATATGTACATGTATTTATCACTTAAAAGATCATTCAATATAAAAGTGCTATTGTCAACAAGTAAACATGACAGTTTTTTTCAGCATCATATATGATCTTTCTTTTACTCAGAATTTCTAATCTTTAGTTTCTGTGCAGTATCTGATTCTACATATTTACGTAATAAAAAATACCATTAATTCCATATATTGTGAACATGTATACTTACTACTGTTTACTATTTCAATAAAGAGACCACATCTGCAGACTGGCTATGAATGTCTTTATTGTTTCCCAGATCAGAATCACAGCATACAGTGTATAATAACTTCTAAAGGAAACAGAAATATCATCACTTCATTTATTTAAATAGTTTTACTATACTATTTTTTAATAATCATCTTTTTTAAATTCCAGGTGCAACAGGTGTGTGTGTGTGTGTGTGTGTGTGTGTGTGTGTGTGTGTGTGTGTGTGTGTGTGTGTGTGTGTGTGTGTGTGTGTGTGTGTGTGTGTGTGTGTGTGTGTGTGTGTGTGTGTGTGTGTGTGTGTGTGTGAGGCTAGGTGTGTCCACATACATCCAGTCTGATCCACGGCTAATCACAGGTTCAGACTCTGAAAGTGAGAGACATTTTTAGATTGAATTAAAATGGAATTTCAACCGTTAACCTGAAACTCTTCACTGCTACATCATACAAGGGCACCACAACCTCCATGACATTTTAAATAAATGGATTACTGACATCTAGAGGACATTTATTGCAACAACACCTACTTAGAATATAAGATCAGGATTTCTCAGGTTTCCTAATTATGTGTCTCTTTAAAAACATAGAGACATGAAACTATAAACACTTGCATATGCCCCACATCTTTCCTAAATGTAAAGACTCCTTGGTCATTTATATTTGGAACAGCCATGTCATCTAATAAATGAAATTGACGTGGCAAACACTATTGTTGCTTCAAGACTTGCAACGTGAAAAGGAAACAGCAACAAATTGCAAATCCAGCAGTAATTCTTAACACTACTGTAAACATTATACTGAATGTGGATGAATCGGTTAACAGAAAGTTGTTGTTTAGCTCCAATTGCCAAACATTTCCAGCTTCTACAATATTAATGTTGAAGATGTTCCCCCATTTTCTATAATGTTATAGAGCAGATAAATCAAGTAGCTACATAACCAGCAGATAATGTTAGCTAACAAAGCAAATAACCTCTGGTTAGAGAGCCTTATACTAAAAGGAGGCTTAATAATAATATTTTAACAGTGAGAGTAAATCCAGAAATTGAGATGATATCTAAAATAAAAATGTATTTGCATTTAACTGTGGGAAATAAGTATTTGATCCCCTTGCAAGTGGGTAAACTTACAAAATCGGCAAGGGATCACATACTTATTTCCTCCACTGTATATATATATATATATATATATATATATATACTGTATATACAGTATATATATATATATATATATATATATACTGTATATACAGTACCAGTCAAAAGTTTGGACACTCCTTCTCATTCAAAGGTTTTTATTTATTTTAATTATTTTAATTATTTCTACATTGTAGATTAATACTGAAGACATCAAAACTATAAAAGAACACATATGGAATTATGTAGTAAACAAAAAAGTGATGAACAATCCAGAATATGATTTATATTTTAGATTCTTCAGAATAGCCCCCTTTTGCCTTGATGACAGCTTTGCACACTCTTGGCTTCTCTCAGTCAGCTTCATGAGGTCGTCACCTGGAATGGTTTTCCAACCGTCTTGAAGGACTTCCCAGAGGTGCTGAGCACCTGTTGGCTGCTTTTCCTTCACTCTGCGGCCCAACTGATCCCAGACCATCTCAATTGGGTTGAGGTTGGGTGATTGTGGAGGCCAGGTCATCTGACGCAGCACTCCATCACTTTCATTCTTAGTCAAATAGCCCTCACATAGCCTGGAGGTGTGTTTGGGGTCATTGTGTGTTGAAAAACAAATGAGGGTCCCAGTAATCCCAAACCAGATGGGATGGCATGTCATACTTGAATGTCCATTCTTTGTGTTTCTTGGCCCAAACAATTATCTTCTTCTTGTTGTTCATCCTCAGTAGGTGGATCTTTGCAGCAATTGGACGATGAAGGCCAGATTCACGCAGTGGATGTTGAGATTTGTCTGCTCCTTGAGCTCTGTGATCATTTATGTGGGCTCTAATCTGAGGTGCTTTAATTTGTGGTTTCTGAGGCTGGTAACTCTGATGTGTTTATCCTCTGCAGCAGAGGTACCCCTAACTCTAGGGGGTCCTCATGAGAGCCACTTTCATCTTAGCGTTCGATGGTTTTTGTGACTGCACTTGAGGATACATTCAAAGTTCTTGACATTTTCCGGATCGACTGGCCTTCATTTATTAAAGTTATGATGGACGGTCGTTTTTCTTCACTGAGTTGAGTGGTTCTTTCCATAATATGGATTACAACAGTAGTCAAATAGGGCTTTCCACTGAGCACTAACCCTACCTCTGCACAACACAACTGATGGTCTCAAACACATTAAGAAGGCAAGTGTTTCCAAAAAGGCACACGTGTTCATTGAAAACCATTCCAGGTGACGACCTCATGAAGCTGACTGAGAGAAGCCAAGAGTGTGCAAAGCTGTCATCAAGGCAAACGGGGGCTACTTTGAAGAATCTAAAATATATAGGTCACCCATGTAATGAGCCCACTTACCTTCAGAAGATTCTTTCAAGTGTACCCAGGAATGAGAAGCCTTATGTCGTCACACTTTGTCGGTAATTTAACTGACACAGCTGTCCCACTGCAGAAAATTAGATAGTAACATTTGTTTGCGTTTTCATCTTTAAAATAAAATTCAAGAGAAGGATGTATCTGTTAATATCTGCCAAATATCAAAAGTGACTAGTACTTTTAACATCATTTCCAACTTTCCTTGTTTAATGGTTGGTGAAATGCAGTTTTATATCTGCATTCAAATGTGCTTAAAAACAAACAAATACTGAGGTTGAACATGCAGTCAAGATAAAGTAGAAGCTCTTGGAGGAATGACTAAATAGGATGCACAGCGTTTAAAACTAAATAAAATAATTCCAAAAGCCAAGTTACACAACAGGTATCTGCCATTTGTGGGCGTGCCAAATCCCCAGGAACATGTTTAACCGGACGGTAACTAAGACAGTAACAACACTTCATCCTGAACTCACTGTGGGGCCTGTCTTCATGGACCTGTAGCATAACACCCTGACACATAACAAATAGAAAGTATGTTCATTAAGAATGCACATATTGTCCCTTCTCTGTCTTTCAATGCAGTCAAACTTGTTAAAGAAAAACAATAAGTTTAACGTTACAGAAATAAAAGCTTAATTACTCACCCTCCTAATTGTAGACGTAACGGGGGGTTACGTATTGTAACCCTAGTTATATAAACACAGGCGGAGCCCTCTACTGGACTCTATGGGTACTACCTTATACCGCGTGCATTCTCCCACTGAGACTTAGACGTAGCCGGCCCAGGGCGGGCCTACCTGAATGCGCACGCATCACACCGTATAAAAGGAGGCCTCGCCTCCTGACTATCATCCTATACCTCTCTTCAGCGAGCGGAATAGAACAGACAGTGCCCTGAGTAGAGGGCTCCGCCTGTGTTTATATAACTAGGGTTACAATACGTAACCCCCCGTTATATCTCTCACAGGCTCCGCCCTCTACTGGACTCTATGGGTACAGTGGGTGGAGCCCTGATGTATACGCGCACTGTCGTCCAACACCATTCCACCCTACTGCCCCTGACCGGCTTTTCTGGTCAGCAGCTGCTGCCCCACACTCTCCCTTAACCCGGTTGTGACCGAGGAGAAATCTGGGCTGCGGCTGACAGAGCACACCCTGCTGCGCTTACCTCGCAGAAAGTGTGCTCAAAAAACAGTGCCGGGGGACCCCCCCCCCCCGCCCATAGATGGGTGGGGAGAGCCCCCTCTGCCCCGTATGGGCTTGCTACGCACCTGCTTTCCTGAATCCCTAAGGATAACAGGGAGAGCGCCAGCGCCCATGCCTCACACTCAAGCACTGACCCCGTGCAGAGTGTGAGAGGACTACAAATGTGGGGGGGCTATCCCCCTCCTGCCTCTCGGCAGGAGGGGGGCGGCCCCTCCGCCCGTAACGGGCCAGCGCGCCCCTTGCCTATCCTTGGACCCTCAGAGGGCCCAGGAAAGGTGAAGGTGCATCACGTCCGGGGAGGGGGTCAGATGCCAACTGACCCACAACCCCCCTCCCCCCCCCCCTACAAATCCTGTGTTGCCCCAGCAAGCACAGACGAGGAGAAAGAGCCAGACATGTCCAAGAGATAAAACCTTATAAAGGGGCCTGGCGTCGACTAAGACGCCGTTGTGCATAAATCCTCCACACTGTTGAATAAGGCTGTTGACACAGCTACAGCCCATGTGGAGTGCTCACGAATCCCTGTGGGGCAGGCTCTCCCTGCCTGTCCGTAGGCATGTGCAATGCACTCGCAGAGCCAGCCTGCCAGGCGTTTCTTGGACAGAGCTTTCCCGATCACCCCGCCCCCGAAGCACACAAACAGCTGTTCGGTGCGTCTAAGGGCAGCCGTGGGCTCCACATAACATGCTAGCGCACGCACCGGGCAGAAGAGGTGCAGTTTAGCCTCCCTGGCCCCCCATGGGGGGGAGACTAAAACCCCCTAACTGAATAGCCCTCGACCTGAACGCACTCCTTAGGTCTTTAGGCACAAAGGAGGGGTTCGGTCTAAGTGTTGCGCCG